CCTCAGCACCGCATAAAAAAAAATAATTAATTAATTAATTTAATAAAGGTATTGTGTCCATCTACAACCAAAAAAAAAAAAAAGATTAAAAAGAAAGAAAACATCTGTGCTTGGGTTGTAGCTCAGTAGTAAAGCACTTAACTAGTCAATGCCAAGGGCTGGGTTCAATCCCCACTACTGGAAGGGAAGAGGAGGAAGAGGAACCAGCCTCAGCAACAGCCAAGCACTAAACAACTCATTGAGACCCTGTCTCTAAAAAAAATATAAACTAGGGCTGGGGGTGTGGCTCAGTGGTTGAGCAGGGCTTCCTTGTTACCCCCCCTCGCCCCCCCCCCCCCCCCCCCCCCCCCCGAAAAAAAAATATATATGGTCAAAACATATCAATTGAACTTTACAGTTTGTCAGAATGTAGGGAGTGGGGAGCATAAAGCCATCCTGTCACACAATCACAATTCAGTCTGTCTACAGACTAAAAACAACAACTTCCCAATAGTTAAAGAAAAAATTTAAAGAAACTAGTGACATGGATAAATCTTAAATCTCTAAGTGGGAACCTATTTGTAAATAATTACATAGATTGACTAAAAAAAAAGAATAGGAAGGAAAGTTATACTATGCCAACAACAGTAAAAAGAAAGCTTATGTTGAACAAATTGTGTCAGATAAAGTAGACTACAAAACATTGAATTTTTATTATAAATACATTTTATAATAATAAAGGCGTAAACACTGATAAAGAGTTTGAAAATAAAGCTGATAAAACTGAAAAATTTACAATTTTAAAGATTGCTGATATTATCAGCAATCTTTCAATTATTGAGAGAAAAAAGACAAAAATTATTAAAATATAGATTTAAACATTATCAGTCAGCCAAATTTAGGGAGGATTTATAGAACACTCCACTCAATAACAATAAAACAAATATTTTCTTTAAAGTCCAAATGAACTTCACCAAGGTTTGGTAAATGCTCAGCCATAAGACAAATATTGACAAATTATAAACAAATTAAATAATGCAAAATACCTTTGCTAACAACAAAATAATTAAATTAAAAATCAATAGCAGAAGATATATAAAAAATCACTAAATGTTTGAAAATTAAATGACATGGCTAAATAGCTAATTGTAGAAAGATGACTTACAAAATTATACAATAAAAAATAAAAAAGAATATTTCAAAATATATACTTAGAGTTGTGGGTGCTTGGAGGAAAATTTATGACATAAAGTGCATATATTAGAAAAAAGAAATATATAATCATTTAAACATCCACCTTAGGAAAATTAAAAATTATGCACAAGTTAAATCCAAATGAGACAAAAGAAAGGAAATAAATCAAAACAGAAGTCAACTAAATTAAATGATAAAATAGTAGAGAAAAATCAATGAAAACGAATGGTTAATTATTTTAATGCATAAAATTCTAGACTGATCAAGAAAAATTTGGATAAAAATATAGAATTAGGAATAAAACAGGGACATCATAATAGATCCTACTGATAGCAAAAAGAAAAAAATTAGTGTAAAGAACTTTAATAATTAATTAAATGAATATATCTAAAAGACCAGCTGTGTGAGTTCATTTAGGAAAAAAATAGCTCAAATGATTAGCCCTGTACCTGTAAAGAAGTTGAAATTTTCCATGAAAACTTTCCCACAAAGAAACAAATGGCTCAGATGGATTCATTAGCAAATTTTCCATATATTTAAGAAAGTAATAATACAAATTCCACACAATCTTTCAAAAAAATAGTTGAGAGTAAAATTCTTCCTAATCATTTTATGAAATCAACATATTGATGATATTAAAACTTGAAAATATATTTAAAAGAAATAAATGTTCCATCTCTTTTATGAATTAGCAAAAAGTAAACAAACTCATACATCATGAGAAAAAAAAGATAATACATCATGATCAAGGAGAGTTCATACAGTCACAATTCAGTTCATCTACAGACTAAAAACAACCTCTTCTCAAATAATAAATGAAACAACTAGTGACATAGATAAACCTTAAAAGCATTAGTCTAAGTGAACAAAAGCAGTCCCCAAATACTACATACTAATTAAAACAAATTTTAAAAAGATCCAAACCCTGGCAGCATCCAATAGGAAAATGATAAAACAATAGTAATAATAAGGAAAATACTATAGTGGATATTTCATTACTATGTTCTTTGGGAAAAGCAAAAAATTGTACACAGAAATCAGATCACTGATTGCCAGGGCCTGCAGGTTGGGAAAAGCGACTGACTGAAAAGGGGCATGAGGGAAATTTGGAGGTTAATAGAAACGTAAGTATTGATGACAGTGAAAGTTCCGTGCTGTCTACATTTGTCAAAACTCATCAAAGTGTATTCCTTAAAAGGGTAATTTTTGTATGTAAATTTAAAAAGTGGACTTGAAAGAAAAAAGGAGCATTGGATAACAATTCCAAAACAGTGTCAATTTCACTCATCTTGGTCTTTTTTTTATTGTCCTTTCTCATTTATTCTTCCAGTAAAAAATTCACTTTGTTAAACTCAAATAAATAAATCTCAATAGGATATTCATTGAAGTTAAATTAACTGGAAAAAGAATTGACATATAATCTAGAAATACATATGTGAGGAAAAAAAAAAGAATTGTGTCACATTAGATTGGATAGAGAGACTCACATTGGTCTTTACATAAGACCTCATTGTATGCCTCTTAGCACTGTTTAAGGTTAAACAGCCCTGGGGCTCTTTTATCTCCCATCTTTCAATTCCTTTTCCCATGGTTTTTACTAAAGGGAAAGAGGAAATTGTAGCAAGGAAGTTGAGTAGAATCTCAATGTTCTGTCTGTCCCCCTGCCCCATAGATTGCTCATGACTGGCTTTTGTCTTTTAATGGAAGGTCAGACTTCGGTTAGACAACTTTCTCTACCTGGATCCCTCTATCTCTGGATCCCTGTAAAATCTTTCCACCAGAATGCCTATTGTTGGTTAATGTTATTGCACTATCCCTTCTGGTTCCTATACACTATACACAAATTACATTTCTCTCAACTTCCCTCAACTTCTCTTTACTGCCAGTCCAGACTGATATGGATAACAGGTTCAACCCCTGGTTCCATCGCTTTGAAGCCATGAGAACTTGGGCTATCTATTTAAGTGGAGTTTATTTTCTTTTCTTTTATTTTTTGCATCTGTTCCATGTGAATAATACCTCCTTTGCAAGGTTGTCAGGGAAATTAATGATATGCAATCTGAAAAATCTTTCATTAATATTTTCTCCCTTTCTCATCGTAAGTTTCTTCCCATCTATCACAGGATGATTATTTTCCTCATATTCTCTTTGTTTGCATGTATTCATTTGTCCTCTCTCTTTAAAGATATTTGAATTTTTTGTCATGTAAAAATGCATCAATAAGTCACTTAGTGTATAATGTACAGAAGTCTGTATAAGTGGCTTAAATGTACCATGGTTGTGTTCCTGGAATAAACTGTTTCTATTTCTATTGCTGCAGAACAGTTAAGTCAAACTTTTGAATTAGGTCAACAAAATCCACAAATAGGGTGGAATCTTTGGACTGTCTAAGCAGGGACAGATCTGGAATAAATCAGCCACAGATATCACTTGTCAGCATGCTAAGGGAGGCATTTCCAACAAGGGTAGAAGGTACGTCAGGAATATTGGCTATGATAGTATTATGATGCATCCGTTAAATCTATATTGAGAGTTTTCCATCATGTGCATTCAAGCAAACATAATTGTTTTATGGCAGTAATGTCTAAACACAGGTCCACAACTAGGCTGTATTTTTATCTTGACTTGTGAACTATCACTGCCAACCTCTCAGATTTCAAACTTGTTGAGACATATGTTATCCCTGGAAACCCTTCATAAAAATGAAGCATTTTACTGTTCCACCAATTCAGTGTGCTCTGGTCAGTTCCCCTATCTAGTTCCAAATTAACCATGTAATAGTTCCTATACTAGTGAGTAGTATTTTGAATGGCTTTTAAGCAAAACCAAAAAGAACAAATTTATTTCTGTTTGTGCAAAAACATAATCTGGTTTGGATTCTCTTTTCTAGCTTTTAAACAGTGAGTCAGAAATGCAGCTATGGGCGAAGAACTGGATATGGAATTAGGGAAATCTGTATTTGAAATCCGGCTCTGCTAGTAACCCTTAGCTGTGTGTTCTCTTCAAGACACTTGATTTATCTGAGCCTCAGTCTCTGTATCTGTTAAATGGGGACCTGCTAGTGAAGCAAATAAGTCAATAATGATCTAATGTCATAACATATTACCTTTAAAACTTAGGCATTTATTTTTTTTACTAATTTGTGTATGTAAGGATATATGTGTTAGTGGTAGGAGATAAAAATGAAGAAAATTTTCAGACAGAGGCAGGAATATTTTGGTTGAAAGGAAATTAAAGTACTGGAGAACAAGAGCAAGATAAGAATGATTACAACGTCTGCATATAAAGCCCACATGTCACAGTTTGGTATTTATAGGTTTGCTAGTGACAGCCTTCCCAGTATAGCCATGTTAATTATGAAGTAGCTGCTGGTTTCACTGACACAGCACTGTGCACCTGACGGAGGCTGGAACTATTCAGCATTTCCATGGACAATCATTTAATTTAAAAGTCCAAAAAACACACCAATAAATCAGTTTGGGTTTCTGATTATAATCTCCCTAAATCTTACTTTGAAATGCCCTGGTGGCTTTAACAAATCTTCGTGCATTTAATTTCCCAAATATGATTTGTAATACTCAGAGTTGGACTAAAACCTCAGGAAGAGGTGATGGGTCAGAAACGGAACACAATACCAAATGTAGAATTAAATTTTCCAGAGTTAAGCTCCCATTGCTACTTAAGCGCCATAATCAAAGCAATAGATAAAATAAATAAGGAGAGGAAAAAAAGGGGAGAGGGAAGGAAGGAGGGAGGGAGGGGAAAAGGAGGAAGGAGGGAGGGAGGGGAAAGAGAGAGAAGGGAGCTTGAAGAGAGGCTTGGGAACATGTTCAGTGGAAAATCTGTAGAAATGATGTAAGAGACAGCAAAGGCAGGGATTGGAGTAAGGGGTGTATAGCTGAGACTATAAAAACTCAGAGAGAAAACTCTCCATCAGGGCTGAGTTTGGGAGAAACTGCACATACAGGACTCTAAAGTTAGGCACCCCTGGATTTTCACAAGGTAAGTTAAATGTAAAAATTTGTAAAGATCTAGGAGATTATTTTTCTTAACTATTATATTTATTTACACATACTTGTAAAATATGTTGCTTATGTCTTGATTTTGTTAAAATGTTTTTGATAATTTTTCCTTCTCTCAAAGAAGTAGAAAAGCTGGAATATTTCTATAGCACAAGCTTAAGGTGAAGCTAGTAATCTGCTCAGACACTATCTTTCTTATATTCTTTGTGCTTTTTTTTGCATTTCATAAGAAAAAGGAAAGTCAGGAGAATGATTCTATGTCAGTAGAAGTATTTTGCTTTCATCACAGAAGCTCAATATCAGAAAAAATTGTAATTTTTTTATAAAAGTTGTCTAAACAATCTGGATGGAAAAGAAAAAGTTCTGTTATCCTATTCAGTGATTGGCTTAATAATATAAAATATACATTTGAGTTCTGTCTGACACAAATTCAAATTTTTGTTTCAGTTTGGAAATACAAGCATATGCTCAATAAATTCAGCTCTAACAATGTAAAATAGTATTATTTTGAATTACTGAAATAGACTCTATAGAATTAGGAATATGAGAATTATTTGAGTTATCCTTCTAGAAATGGATTATGGTAATTTTAATGCCCACGTAAGCTATAGAATAGACAGTGTCATAGATACCAATCTACCCAAAATCATCAGGCACATTTTGTATCTTCTTTTCACTTTGATACTACTCTTCCGCACTCTTATGGAACTTTTCTAAGAGCCTTTTATAGATACAAGTTCAAGTCCCCCCTCTAATTGAGTTGCACTGTGGCCTCGCTCAAGAAATCTATTCACAGACTCTCTAAGCTAATCTTTAGATATGACCTAATTAACCTCTTTGCCTATACTTAATTTACTGTGATCCTTCTCCACCAGAAACCTTTGGCTTAGATTCATTGGCATTACTGGAGTAGCACAACCTTTGTTAATCCTGTTTTCAACAGCTTTGTGACCTTGGACTAGTCACTCAGCTTCATTGTGCTGGAGTCTGTGAGGTGAGATAGGTGAGATGCAAGTTCCTTTCTAGCCTTGGACACCCTGCTTAGCAGACCAAAGCATATCATCTGGATGTTCTGACTTAAGCCACTGTTTAGCTAAAGCTCTCCCCATTTCTCCAAATAAGTTTCAGGACGCGGCTCTGAAGCAGAGAGAACATAACATGCCAGCAGTTGCCAGATGCCTCAGTTGGTTTGCAATGGTTGCTGCTCCTCAGCATTGCCCTTGCTCTATTCTAGTCTGTTCTGGTCACCTACATGGGCTCAAGCCTCCCTACCAAGTACCATGCCTTCACCACCACCTTCTGCTGCCTCCTCTTTATGCACTACTGTCTCCCCTCCCGTATTTCCTCTCCTTTGAGCAAGTTCATTCCAAAATGGACACTTTCTTCTTCTACTGAGTGCTAAATTCAACAATTTGTAATATTGCAATCTCCCTCCTAAAATTCTGTATTCCTTTGACATGTGTGGCTCCGAATGTGAAAAGCACACTCTAAATATCAGATGAAGGGCTGGGGATGTAGCTGTGTGGTAGAGCACTTACCTAGCATGCATGAGACACTGGGTTCAATCTCCAGTACTGTATAAATATAAACAAATAAAATAAAAGCATAAAAGATATATCAACATTTTTTTAAAATATCATATGAAATAATATTAAAAATTCATTTCAGTTAATAAATTAGAGCTTGAAAGATAACTATGCTTTGGGTTCAACTGAGCTCTCTTTCCTTTGTCTTCTGCCCTGGAGGATATTTCTATTATTGCATACTAATATTTTCATGACTGAAAACAATGATAATTCATTAAGATCATAGTGATTGCTACTTAGAACTCTCTTTAGTAAAATTCCTTACCCCCATTCAATATTATTTTCTTTATTATGTTTTATTTTTATCACTATGTTGCAATTCTAGTTTCCAAGGACTAACTGTATTCCTTGAACTTAAGAATGCAAACTGATATTTTTTCATAAAAATAAAAAAGTTTTTGAAGTCACCACATCTGAAAGGCAATGTCAGGCTAATATAATTATTATTTGTTAATTGGTTCATGTGAATCACTTTACCTGTATTATTTTTACTCCTCACAATAAACCTGCAAAGTATGTCTTTGCTCCATTTACCTGATGAATATATTAAAATAGAGGCTAAATAACATGCTCAATCAGGATGCCGATCAAGGTCTACATAACCTAAGAATTGACACATTTCTACTAATACATATTTTTATAGTGGAAAGTGTGAATGCAATACCAGGAGTTAAGAGACCAAGTTCTAAAGTAACTTAACTTAATTTCAGTTCATCAATTTTAAACAAAATAGAATTATAATGCTTTCCATATTGACCTATCCCGACTTGTGAGATTAAAGGGCATGAATTAATTTCCCAATAAGCACTGCAGATTATTTAAAGGTTGTCTCTAACAATTATAGCTGAAGGAAATGCATGCATTCCAGAGAGTCTGCTCCTGTGGAAAGAAATCCTTGCAAGTGAAGAACCTGGAGGACCAGGAAAGTAACTGACTTTCTTTTACATCCCTGGTACCTGGTACATGCTGAGTATGCCTAATAAATGTATCCTGTGGTTGAGTATTATACAATATATATAATATATATTTTTATATATGTATATATAAAATATATATATTTTCTTCTTTTTTAAAATTTTTTCTTGTAGTCATAAATGGACAGCATGCCTTTATTTATTTATTTTTTTCATGTGGTGCTAGGGATCAAAACCAGTGTCTCACATGTTCTAGACAAGAGCTCTGCCACTGAGCTATAGCCCCAGCCCCTATTTTTCTTTCTTTCTTTATATTTGGAAGAGTACTGTTTCATTGATTGTATTGGCTTGTTTAATGTAATTTAAATGTAAGAATTTTATTAAAATATATTGATAGAAAGTGGGATAAAGAGGGAAGGGGGTGGTCCTGTCCCACATTGTCATAAGGCTTATTTATATGTAACATTTTACTTTGTTTATTCACTTTTACCCTCTGAAAGATTTTTTATGCTCCATAAAAATTGCCTCAGTACTGAATAGCCACCCAACTTGCTTATGGGCAATTCTACAGCTCTTCCTCATCCATAGTTTTAAAGGTACTCTCTTTTCCCATTTGTGAGCATAAGCATATGAATTAAAGAATAAATTTTCTTAGCAGAATTGTTCATAGTCATATGCTAAAGTTCTTTTTGGCTTGTCCATGTCATGGTTTTATATCAAAAAATATTTAGTTATTCAGAGATTTAAGTGCAGAATAATATCTAATAAGGAAAGCTCTTAAACTCTGGAGGAATGATTATTGGGGAATGATGCTGCATGTTGCTTTCTTTAGAGTAAGAGTCTATGATGTAAAACATTAATGGCCATGTCAGGATTCTAGTAAGAACTTCATCACAGTTTAATATAGGTGTAAAAATTTGGATCAATCTTTTTTCTAAATCTAGATAAGATTGTTGATATGAATTAGTATCCATACTGATAACACTGGGATTTTAATATCTGCCCTGCATTCCTGTTTACTGCATGAGGCTTCTTCACTCATTCATTCAACTTGATGTTGACTCTATGCTAAGTATTCAGCTAGGTGCTAAGATTAATTTGGGGATATGGCATAGTCTTTGCTCTCAAGAAGGTTACAACCACAAATAACTTTTGTTAAACATACAGATCTGGGTTTTCTAATAATAGGATTTTTCTTTAAAGTAGTATTGCAGGTTTCTGCCTTTATTGTATTCTATTTTATTTGCAAATAAAAGACTAGTAATCCGACTGAAAATTCCAACTAAATGAACAAACAACAACAAAAATAAAACAGAGGCACTTAAACACAAAATTTTTGAGATTTTTCAAAGGCAATAGCATCAGAAAAAGAATGAAAATGGTGCCAAATGGACTAAAATCAGGTATACATGTGCACTAGAAAATTACCATTCTTCCTGATTTGTATTACACAGGAAAAGTCATTTTAAAAGACAGATGTCCACCACATTAACAACTTATCCATAAAATCCTTGCTTTAGATGAAATTAGTTTTGGAGATGGAAAAATGTTTTATACTTCCACAAATAGGTTATACTTGAAAGAGCGTGAAACTGGGAGTCTGAAAATGTAACTTGTTGTTCTGGCTCTTCTGACTGGTTTTGTAACTTTGGAAAATTTATTACTGCCAATTGAAGAGCAATGAGAAATGGAGAACACAATCCTGGTATTTTAATTCTTCTTTATATATATATATATATAGCAGGAATTGAACTCAGGGACACTCTAACACTGAGCCATGTCCCCATCCCTATTTTGTATTTTATTTAGAAACAGGGCTTCACTGAGTTGCTTAGTGCCTCGCCATCGCTCAGGCTGGCTTTGAACTCACGATCCTCCTGTCTCGGGCTCCCAAGCCAATAGGATTACAGGCACACACCACTGCACGTGCCTTGGTATTTTAATTCTTTAAAAACTTGGAAAGTGTTACATTTCTTAGTTTCAATGTGCACCTTCTTTTCAGAATCATACCCCACCATAAAGTAAGATGTCCATCACACAATTTGTTAAAATCAAATTTTCTAAGGAGAATCTTAAATGAGTAATTCTCAGATGTACTTTATGAAATTGATGTAGATGATGTATGTGACAGAATCTACAAGCTATAAGGTTCAAGGAAGTGTCTCAACCAACTGATTGCCTCACACTGAAGAAAACTAGAAACAATCTTCTTTAAAATTCTGTTCAAACATTGTTACTTATTGAAATATCAAGGTTATCTATATAAGGAAAAACTATTATTGATCTTTTTGATTTTTCATTACAAATTTTGCAGATTTTCTCTATGAATGGCTCTAAATTCTATAGGTGATTATTTAGTGCATGTAACCTTTATGTTTTCTAGTAGAGCTTGGCTTCAAAGATCTACCTTCAGCTTAATCATGAATTTTACAACATTTAATCAAACCTTTCACATTATCATATGCTTTACAAATGTTTTC